TCCAGGCTGGTTCAGGAGATTTGGAATAGGATGTGGAGGTTTTCACCCCTAGCTCAGCTCTTCTCTTCCAAGGACATTGCAAAACCTCTGCACAGAAGTGCTCACATACCTGGGGCAAAGGGACATGCCTGTGGATCTGCAGGGTGCAGCTTGTGCTGAGCAAACCAGCAGAGTCAGTGAGAGGGATGGTGGAGCTCCTGAGACCACAGGGGAGCTGAGCAAGTTGTGCTGCATGGAGGACCACGGCTGATGTTCACCCCCTTGGATGGTGCCCTGGCAAAGCACGGGGGAGCTGGCAATGTGGCTGACCCTTCAGAATGATCTTTCCCTTCTCGTGGGAAAATGTCCAGGAGGCAATGTACACAGAGGAGGCAAGCAAATGGACTTCTAGGAGGTAAATGTAATATTGTAAGCTGGAGATCTGCCTACACCTGTGTTTAAAAGTGAATCGATCTCTTTGCTTCAGTTTCTATTCTCTCCTTGACTTTCACTTCTGTTTGAGTTCCTCCAGGCCTCTGACCTCACTCTCTCACATAATGCAGTGCTGCCACCCCAAACCCAGAGTGTCTGTTTATCTGTCAGCATCTGTAAATCCTTCAGTCTGACTCTTGTGAGCACAAATGGTCTAACATGATGTGGGCGTGTTGCTCTATAAAGCTCTTTAAGTCTTCTCATCCCACGTAATTTAAGAAGATCCTGGCCCAGGGTACTAGCCACTCTGATTACATCAACCACATGAAGGAGTCACAAAGCCCCTGTCAGTGGGCAGGGAAGGACTGTGCAGTGAGGAGACTTGGCTTTGGCTCTTTGTTTGCCTGGGAAGACCCCAACTGGAGATAACATGTGCCAAGACCTACCAGGGGAAAAGAGTGACTCTGCTGCCACAGGCACCAGCACAGTCTCATGGGGCATTGCTCCCAGCACTACCAGACTGGAGCAGCTTCAAACTGCTCCAAGTTGTGCCAAGAACCCAATGGGCTCCAGGATGAAGTTAGGCCCAAGACCAGAGGCTGTCAACCACCCCAGATGCTACATTTAGCTGGACACAACCATCTGGTCACTGCTCTTGTGCGTCCCAGCCCAGCTCAAGGTTTTGAGGCTTCCTTGTGAGCATCCCCTCTGCAGGTGCTCAGTTTGCTCTGCTCAGACTCACCACTTCCCAACAGTTATGCTGAGGAACCAGCACAACTTGTAAGGCCTCACTGAGAAAAACGAGCTGGAGAAGGGTCAATAAATTCATCCTGTCAACAAAATCCTTGGGCTTTTTCATTTACTGGGGCTGTTGAGGCAATTCTGTATGCCTGTGGCTCAGGCCATTTCCTGGGTTTATGCTGAAAATTTGTAGAATATCTGAGTCAGGTCAGACATCTCCAACTTAACTTCCAGATGGGCTATTTGCAGACTCAGGGTAAGAGCACAGATTGTATCATCTTCAGGTTTCCTTTGACACTACCATGTGTAGAATTTACTTCAAATTAAGGACAAAATTATGCAAGCACACAATTATTAAAAAAGACATAATTTCTGGAGCAGCAACAATTTCTGTTCTGGGCTCTTCCCTGGTGAAGAAAATGCATTGTCCAAGAGCTAGCTGAAGTGTATTGAAAAGGCTTGGAGGAGGTGGGTTTACAGGCAAACAATTTGCTCCCCAGCATTTAAAAAACCAGGAGGAACACTTTTCTGAGAAGCCTGTTAAAAATAATAATAAAAGGCCAGGTGCAAATTTAGGCATTATCTGTAACAAATCCAGTATGAACCACTTTAGGAGAATTAATCATTTGAGAATCCCACTACTCTTTTTGCTTCAGAGTGCCAGTGGCAACATCCACAGGAGAGATCTCCTTCTTCTGCTTGTGGGCAGCTGCAAGCAATGAAATCCCCTCCAGGAAGTTGATTGCAGGGTGGTGGCAGGTAGAGAACAAGAACACTCCAAATTTCTGTTTTCTGAAGCTGATATAGGAAAGGCTGGTAATGTCACACAAGGACTGCAAGTTGGCCCCAGTGGCAGAAGATCCCCAAGGTCCTGCTGACTCTTATCAGAGCAGAAGAGTGGGAACAGCACATGGATACTTGTTGTTCTTGGCTCAAGATGCTCAGGTGGCTCTTGTTTGATCTCCAAGGCACTTGAGGAGGTTGTGTGCAGCAGGACCTATTGACCTCCTCCATAGTCATGTCTCAGACTCATGGCACGGCTGGGGGTGCAAGGCTGGCTCCCACATTACAGAGTTCAGCCATGCAGGTCAGACCTGCATCTTTTCCTCCTCTAGTTTGTCCTCTGCATCTGTATAATTGTATCTTTCACAATCCACAGCAGCAGATCTCCTGTCTCGTTGCAACAGTGAAGATGTGAAACATTTCAGCATTTTGCTAGTTTGCAGGCAGGCAAATGTAAGGTCTGTTTAACCATCAGCAGCCTTCCTCAAGAATTGTCCATATTATTGGAAAAGCCATTTGATGGGAAATACTAACTTCATTTCAAATGCTTCTGCATTCCTCAATAACTAACTATTGCCTTCTGGAGTCCAGAAACTCTACACCAGCACTTCAAGCATCAGGATTTCTTCTCTTCAGGCTATGATCTAATGATAAAAACACCCAAGAAGAATGAACATCCAGATATCTCCTCAAGCAGAAATTACTGCAACTGTGTGGAAGGCCCTTGGGTCCCTTGGGTCCCTGGTAATACAGAACTGGCTTTTCTGGCAGAGGAACAGTGACAGTGCAGACCTTCCAATCACTTCTTTTAGGTTAACACTTTGCTGCACTGCCATGCACACCCATTCAATTCCCATCTGGTTTTAGCAATTGGTATCTTGTGACTCCTCAAAAAAGGAAATAATTTTATCATCTGCAAGGAAGGAATTGAAGCTTTCAAAGCATATGAAATAAATAGGTCTGGTTTGCATGGCACATAAACCCTTAGTGGAATCCAACACTGAGCTTCTCCTCTGTTTATCAGCTATCACAGCAGCCTGGTTTGAAGGTAGACTGGTTCTTCACAAGGCTGGAATCACTTTGGTTAGAACAATCTGTCTCCTGAAGACACATGATAACTACCACATGCATCCTTCTTAGGAAAAAGAGCCAACCATTCCAGCTGAGTATTTCAGGAGCTCAGGTAACTCGTACTGTACTTAGAAATCTACCTGATTTGCAAAGTCTTGATTTGGATTCAAGTTCTTCCCAAAAAGAAATAGCCTTGAGATCCATGCTTTTGGCACTACCACGTTGCTTAGAGATAAACAGTGATTCATACACTTTTCCAGGCTTCAGGGGTTGGGCCCTCCCCAGTATGGAAAGACTGGAATGGCTGGGGCTTCCCAGGGCTACAGCTACACCACTACAGGAGCTGTGACTGATTCATCCTATGGGGCTTCCCCCATATTTCCTATGGGCAACACTGGCAAGATGAACTTACCAGTGCAGCCAAGAAGCCAGTGGCAGAGACAACCACCCTACAGCACAAGGGTGTGTGGTGTAGAAGGGCTGCTCTCACTTCACACACGTGGGAAATGTGGAGGACCACAGCATCTGGCTTCTGTCCTTCATGTCTGAAGGGCAAATCTGGGAGAACTGCAAGATGCTGTTCATCCTGTGTCCTTTCCAGCTGACCCTGCCTTGGGAAGTGAGAGCACAGGAGCTCGGCAGAATGCACTTCCACATGGTTTTTCCTACTGCTCCCTGACAAAACAAAGGAGCACTGGGAGAAGGGAGGAGTTGTGCTGAGTGTAATCCAGCTCACAGCTCTTCCAGGAGGAATGATGGTTCTGTTCAGATGTGTCCTTCAAGGCCTGAGGAGCTGTGGTGTCTAGTGAGCTTCACCCCACACAGTGGCAGTGGCACCAGGTTGACATCCACAGACACAAATACCTTTGGCTGTGCATCTCCACTGTGGGGTCTCTGGGCCACGCCAGGAGAAGACAGTCAGCTTTGGTCTTCTCCAGGCTGGGCACAGTGACCCCTGTATCTCCAGCTGAGCTCAGAAGCTGACTGCTTCATAGTCACCTGCAGGAGCCTGGGGGCAGCTACAGGTGGGTTTTGTGTACCTCTGTCTCCAGCACTGCCAATCACACTGCACTGATTCCCAGGCCTCAGTAGGGTTGGAGCATGAGCTGTGAGATGCTGCTGGGCTTGCTGGCTGGGACAGGTTGAACCAGAGGTGAAAAGGTCTCACATCCCATTCCACATCCCTTGGACTATGCAGGCCCACTTTATCCTCTCCAAGAAATTTCATTTTAAGGATAAGGACACAGCTTGCTCAGGGAGGTTGTGGCTGCCTTTTCCCTAGAAGTCTTCAAGGCCAGAGTGGATGGGGCTTGAAGCAACCTGGTCAAGTGAGAGGTGTCCCCTGGACATGGCAAAGGGCTGGAACTAGATGATCTTTAAGGACCCTACCAACCCAAACCATTCTATGATTCAATGACAACTTAATATGTCTTCCTGGATTTTTTTTTGCAGGTTTTTAAATTTGAAAGGGAGAAACAGACACCCCTGAGCCTGCCAGAAAGGGGCACAGAGTGGTGAACAGCAGTGTGCTAAACCTGCTTCTGGTCCCATGAGAAGCAGACAGGAGAGGTAAAGGGGCAGGTCTCAGCAAGGGGCTCCCTCCAGTTATGGGGGTGGGTGTGCACTGGGGAAAGACCCCTGCCTCAGAGAGGAGGACCTGTCAGCAGGGGACACAGAGCTCAAGGAGGACAAAAGGGACTTGACCTTCCCCGAAGCTGCAGAGGAGAAAGGGAAAGAAAGGGAAAGGAAACAGCCAGGACAAACATCTTGGAGGAAGAGTCAGGAAAAGTGAACAGTGGCACTCACACAGAAAAGAAAACCTGAACCTCCCCCACTCCCACCCCTCTAGCCTCCCTCCCTGAATCTGCACAGCTCAAACTGCAATTGCCAGGAGAATTTCAGAGCCACCCCCCACCCCCTCTGGCAGTTGCACAGAGATGTCCCCCCCCCAGCCAAGTCATTTCCATATTGACACAAGAACTCCAGTGACTTACTTGCAAGACAGCTGGTTAATCCCCTCGATGTAGTAGCACACCCCACCATTGACACAATAGGACTTGGCTGTTTCGTTGCATTTTCTAGCATGCCCAGACCAGGAGGAGAGAGTTGTGGTTACTGCAGGGGGAAAAACACACAAAAAGGGCATTTTGTTATTTCCTTTGTTGGGCAATTCTGCTTCCTCAGATGATTTTCAACTAGTGCATTTGCCAAAGTAAAACCCTGCCAACCTCAGCCTGTGCCTTCAGACCCACCTTCACCTCTCCAGGTCCTGGGGCTGTGACTTGACCTGTCCTTTCCTAGGAAGAGAGGCCAAGTGAGCGAGGAGTGAAGGACACGCCTTCCTCTCAGCAGCCAGCATGGCAGGACAAGATAATCTTTCTTGGTGAGCTACAGGGAAAGGGGCCCTTCCCCGTGTCTCCTCATCCTCCCCCTACACATGCATGCAACCCTGCATGGGCAGGCAGGAGGTGTGAAAGAGCAGGTCCTGCAGGGTCACAGAGTCATGAGGACACCTGCTGAGGCCTGATTTGCCCCACAAGACTGGACCAAGACACAGGGGACATTCCATTCCTCCACATCTCCAGGAGGAAGAAAGGTTTTAGCCATAAGCCCTCACTGTCTCCAAAACAGGTCCAGAGGAAGCAAGAACAGCTCCATCTTTCCCTTCTCTGCTTCTGGGCATTCCTCTGTCACAGCTGCTGCAAGACAGCAAGAACTTCAGCAGTACAAGTCAGTCAGCCTGCTGTGTGCTAAGAAGTCAGCCTGTCTCAGGCTTCCTGGGATACAGACCCTTTTCCAGTTTCTTGGAGCATTTCTTTCTGGAGAAAAGCCTTCCAGTCATGTAAGGTACAAACAACACTGAGGGTGCTCTGCAAAATTCCACTGCAACTCCTGTCTCTGAACGACTCTGACAAAACAGAGCATCTCCATGGGCAAGACAAGTGAAAAAGCTTTTGTTAGAGCAACTGTTGCACGTTACACAAGCAGAGCAGCTTTGGGGAAATGCAGACCCATCTTCACATAATTGAGAGAAGGGCTGAACACTCAAAAGCATCTACTTTTTCCAACTGAATACTTCATCTCATTAAAGGTAGTTCCCCTTCCTGGAATACCCAACTTGCTCATCCCCTGACAGCTACATCTTCAGCAGTGTAGTTACTACCTACTTTCTAGCACCTTCTATATTGTCCTCAAGGTTTCTGAGGAGATACCCTCCTCCATCCTGTTTTCCATAGCCTGAAAGAGCCTCACGGAGAGGTCAGTGACTTTGGACCAGTTGGTGAAGACTGAACATCTTATTGATAGAGGATTACAGGAAAAAGGCTGGAGCTAGAGCCCCAGGCAGGAGCTAGTCAGGACCATGGGAGAAGCAAGAGAGGCAGAGCCTGCCCTGAACAAGTGGGAGCAAGGGCTGATCCTGACAGCTCAGGCAGTCCCTGAGCCCATCCCAGAGGCTGCCATGGATGCCTGCCCTGCTGCAGCCCCCCCTGCCAGAGCCAAAGTCCCTGCTCTCCTGCTCATTCATTTACACGAATGCATTGTCCACCCCCATTGTCTTCTGTTCCTCATAGGGAAATCAAAGCTTTCCACTGTCTGACAGGGCTGGGGTTGTGCACCAAGCAGAGCTGTTCCTGTTCTTTGCCTTTAACAACTGCTGCCTCTGGGGTTTTCACAGCTATCAAGGGCAGAGCAAGTTGTCTCAAAGTGCTCTGCAAACCACTCATGGCAAATACTTCAGCATAGACTGAAAATTAACATGGCCCTGGGACAACAAACAGCTGCTCCCATCCCAGGGCATGTAGCATCAGCCAGCTGGGAGCTAAACGTGCAGAGCAGTGTACACAAACTAGAGTGTAAGCTGGGGTTTAGAACAGACCATTATTTGACCAAGCCACCAAAGACGTTCTTGCAAAAAACCCTAATGTATGAAAACTCCCAAATTTGTGTATTGAAATTCAGCATTCCCTTCTAGTTAAGATTATTGAGAATTTGAAGCCAAAACCACTATAATGGCTTTGTAGTAAGTCTGTAGAATTGACACCTTTTTGAGTAGTAGCATGTCTTCTGAGGCCAGTGAAGAGCTGTGAGATCAGTACAGAGATTTAACTATGTGTGATGGCACCTGGACTTTCTTTGCAAGGCCTTTCCTTTAGCTATTGCTTGATCTAGCCACTAAAAATGAGCCTTAACACCAAATGTCATTTTAAAAATGAGCATGAATGAGGAACTGGGATGGGTTGCCCAGGGAGGCTGTTGATGCCCCATCCCTGGAGGTTTTTAAGGTCAGGTTGGATGAGGTTTTGTGCAACCTGGTCTAGTGGTTCCCTGCTCATAGCAAGGGAGGTTGGAACTAGACAATCTTTAAGGTCCCTTCCAACCTTAACAATTCTAAGATTCTATGGATCTATATTTTATCTGTGAAGATCAAACCCAGGCTGGCAGCACACAGCTGGGTCCAAAAGTGCAGCTGGAGCCAGGCTGTGCAGGAGCTGTGCTCTGCGTGTGCAGGGGATGCTGCAAGTTGTGCAGGGAAAGCTGCAGGTTGTGCAGACTGTGGGCATGTAGGAACCACATGCTTTGCTCTGCAGCTCTCTGGGGGCTGAAAGTTGCAGGGCAAAAGGTACACAGAAGACAGTCACTGTCCTTTGTAATAGTTCCCTACTGCTGCCTTCCCAGCACACAGTGTGGGAGCTGCTGAAAGCGACTGGCAGGGAGGCCTTTGGTTTGGAGTGCTGGCAGGATGCTAAAGCTGCAAGTGTGCTGTTAGATCAGGGAGCAGTGAAACTTCAGGAACCAAAGCACTGGTACAAATTGAAAGGCACATGGATGAAGAACAAGCACAGCCTGCAGGAAGCCATCACCCATCACCCCAACACCCATCAAAGGTACCAGTTGCTTGCAAGCAAAATGATCCACCTGGCAAAGTCTCACATCATAAACCCTACAGGGAAGGATTCTGGAGGGAGCTTGTCATGGTTCACACAGTAAGGGAGGAGCAGAGAGGGAGAAATAAAATCAGAGCCCAGCAACCTACCCATAGAAAACACCTCAGATAAAAGGGTATTCTTTCCACCAGAATAGGTGGGTGGGAAGATGCAGGGCTGTGTGATGTGATTACAGTGCTGACCAGCTAGAGATTGAATGGGATTGTCATCCCATATAAACAATTTAGTTCCTTTTAAACAGATAAAAAAAGGGGGTGACATGAGGCTTGGGACATTCATGTTGAGCACTTCTAGAAAAAGAGCTGTCAACAGAGATATACTTGTCAGAAAAATATGTGGTGGATCAAATTTCCTAGAAGCATCTTGTTAAAGTTTTTTACCTTCTAAATCCTGTTTTCTGCAAGCTCAGTGCCTTTTCTCCCAAAGAAGCACAAAGCATTTTAAAACTGAATCCCAGAATCATATTTCTATGGTGCATTTGTTGGCAGCATAGACGTAGCAAAGGCTACAAAAAGGGGCAGGCAGCCCAGTTCCCTGTCAAGAACAGACTATCATGAAACACACCCTAAAAGCTGAGTCATGTTGGTCAAACCAAAGCCCTGTCACGTCTCTGACACTGGTCACTATGCAACGGGTAAAGGAGACCAGCATAAGCATGAAAAGACAATTTTCTTCTGCCATCTAGGATGAGCAGCTCAGAGACTACCTAAGTCACCCCTAGTGTCTTTACATTAATAGCTTTTTATGGGTTTATTTTCCACAAATGTGTCTAGTTGCTGTTTGAACAAATCTAATCTACCTGGTCCTGAGCCACCTGCAGTTCGATGACCGATGGTGGTAAAGTGACTGTACAGGTTATTTGCAGTCATGTTCATTCACCTCCACTTCAAACAGCACTCAGCTGTGCCTGGTGACCTAGAAATACCTTCCCAGAGCTTCTACTCTCTGTTGGCTGGTGTGGTAGAATAAGTCCTTCGTTCAGCCTCCAACACAACTCCATCTATCATAAATTACTCGGAAAGTTGTAAAATTACTGAGCTGTTTAGAGATCTAAATAAGCAAGGGATCAATGTGGGGTGGTAGCTGCAATCTGGGTGGAAAGGGACTCACCTGAAAGCAGCAGGATAAGGGGATTTGTGCAGCAACACCAGACATGGACCAACTGCCTTCCTAAGTACTGCAATGAATTAAGAGCAGGAAGCAGGGAGTGTGCAGGGGGTAGGCTGCAGAGAAGAAACTGGGGAAGTAGACCACTAGGAATAAGCAGGGTGCCCCTGAGACAGAGGCCTCTGCAAACACAGAGGCAAACTGGCCACAAGGCTGCTGCAAGGTGGAAGAAGGCCTGGAAAAGCTCACCCATCAGCAAGTCATGTCTCCTGCAGGTATTAGGACCAGGGCTGAGAACAAAGCAGGATGGAATAAGGAGGTGAGAACATGGGAAAGAGGGTGGCCTCTTGGTGGATGTGTATTGACAATCTAAAGCCACACCCTGTTGTGGTTGTACCAGTCAGTAAGGACAGTGCAGCACAAAGACATACCAGATTTGGAGCCATTCAGAGCATTTCTTTTCCACCACACACCTAGGTTGTTTGGGACTGGCATCAATGGCAGGGCAAAGAGGGGAGAGCCAGAGGCACTGCCATGTGGACATCTCCCTTCACACAATCCAGCTACGCAGAAAGGCCATTAATGATTGTGCAGGGCTTCTTACACAATTCCTAGCACACGTCACTTACCGTCTGCAGTGAGCTCACCTGCCTGTTCTCAGAAATCTGGTGAAATATTCCCCCTGCAAAGAGTTAATTAATGCAGCTGGGGCTATAAATGATAAGTTAATTTTTCACAAACTACAGCTACTGTCCAGGAGAGCCGGGAGACAGCAAAAGTTCCGCTGCTCCTTCTTTTTGTTTTTATAAATAACTTTGACTGGTGAGTTCATAGAGTACAGACAATTTATTCTCTCAATATTTAGACATTCAGTCAGACAGATGAACTCTGCTGGTTGGAGAGTGTATACAAATTGCCAGCTCTGTATATGCCTCATGTACTTACTGATAAAACACAGAATTGCTGAGGTGCCTCTCAACCGAGTTCATCCAACTGCTTGTCAGAAGGACATGGATGAAAAGCTGTCTGGCCAAGCTATTCCTTAGTTGTAGCACTGTAATC